TACCTGTCACAAGGTGGAGAATGCATCATATTTTTGGTACTTCTAGAGGCATTTTAAAACGTTCTGGCAGAACACCTTCATCATAAGGACGATATAAACTTACGTAGTAGCACTTTGGGACAAGATGGGGTTGTTTAATACCACAACGGTTTTCTAAATGCTGCTCTTAACTCTATGTAACTTAATTTTGGCACATATTGGTTTGTGTCAAACAGTAGATATACGTACTTGCTATCTACAAACGCCATTTATGATTCGTTATCATAAATGAGAGATGACATTTGCTGTAATATAAAGTTGAACTGTTTTTAGAAAGTGCAATCAAGCTGCTACTTACCTTACAAGCGACTAGAGTCTGTTTGCAGGTTCCATATGAGTAGCAACAACAACCTTCAACACAGTTCTGATGTACATGCTTTTTATTTTAGCCATCCTTGAAGCTAGATGCTAATGATCAAAAAGCAATTATAGATCCAATACATCAGCAGTCATGAAGCTTGATGCACGTGATTTTACGACAGCTTTAGCCACTCTGGCCAAATCCCCTCACATGGTGTCTCTACATCGACCTATGCATGGCGTCCGATTCTTTGAAAAATTACGATCATCCTAAAGGCCTTCCAACCTCTAGTACAATAAATATCATCGAGCTCTAGATCTAAGTCCGTTCAATTTGCTTCTAAAGCCCGGACATAAGTTTTGGGCTCAGAATTTAGCACGGACGTTTTTGATTGAAATCTGTTTTAGTGTCGCCATGAGGTAACTGTGAGATATAAACACTGCCATGCCACGCAGTCCACAAACTACAGTTGATTTTTTTTTGTCACACAGGCTGTTTACTGAATCAGGGTTACACGCACAGCACGAAATCCGATATTTAAGCAAACTTTCCGCAATATGTAAAGGATTATCAAAGGTGGGAAAATATTTCAGTAGACTTTACGACTTCGTAAAGGGCACTGAAAGGCAAATCCGCCTTTCCGTCACCTTTCAGTGCGCTTAAGTACGACGTAAATATAATTCATACCTTTACGCTTCCTTTACAAATCCGTAAATGTATACGCAGTCAGTCTGTCCTGTGTTTGCGTCCACTTTTCATTTTTGTAGTTGCGTCATTAATTTCTGTTAATCAAATAGATATTTGGTTGTATTACCTGTTGTACAGTTGATTTCTATTATTTTGATTATTGATACGTTTTTCAGTTCAATTTATCATAGTCTGTTAATTCTGTTGTATGATTCCGTTATATTGCGTTGTACATTATATTTTGTATTACATTGTATTTTAAATGGACTCCAGGAAGATTAGTGGATGTATTCACTAATGGAGATCGAAATAGACCAAACCAAACCAATTTCATGAAAATTAATATATCAGGCTAGCTGAGGGGGCATTTGGCACCTAACAGAAATGCCCTTTCCCAGTGACAAGTTGGCCCTGGTGTTGTACCCCATCCATAACTGACCAAGGACCTGACAAAGCCTCTGGTCAGTTTATTGTTTGGTACAGTCTCGAAGGCACAGGACAAAAACTTTAATTACGCTGTGTCATGCGTCAGCTGAGATATCAAAGCCCCTCGTCTGTCTCCTGCCAGGACCCTCTCGCATCGGCCTGACAGAAAACCAGAGACTTCTTATTCTTTCATTTTGAGGCAGCCGCCTTTTACTAGCTGAAGATTTTGCTGCCTAGTGGCTAATACGAGATGGGGTTCGCCAGGCCTCCATTCAAGAAAGTCGTATTTTAGTGATCGCGTAAAGTGCCATTCCCAAGGACACAAGATCAGTGACATGTCAGGGTTCGAACCCCTCTTGTTTCCGAGCCGAACGCTCTGCCGTTACGCCACACGACCCCACGACGTGCTACAGAAAACACGTCCGCTCATCCAGTCGGCGACCCTTCTAAGCTGGGGTGATTTTTTTGAGCGGTGATTTAGACCTGGATAGATGGCATTGGTCCAGAAAAGCCCTGCCCGAGCCATCCCTCTCCCTCCCGACATGCCGGGGTCCCGAGCAGGCAGTGACAGGTGCATGTCGGGACCGTGCGGTCCCGCACCTGGTGCCGATAAACCCGCACATCCCGGATTAACCCTCGGAAGGACGGGGATTAACCTACCCGAGCCGCGCTGCAAATTAAAAGGGTACACCCGTGCTGCGGCATGAATCTGAGTTCTCTGGTTCTCTGAATGCCACAAGGTTTGTTACGCTCCATTAGCCTCTACCAGGCTTCGGGAGGCGGCTGGAAAGAGTAGAAATCGGTCAAATAGAGATATAACATGCCAGGGGAGTTTGGCTGCTGGAGATAAAACAGTTTGCCACTCCCGCTTCGGGATAGGGGTATTGTTTTCAGTCTGGATGATGTTTTGGTACGTGTGTATTTCAAGATATGTCAGACGGAATGCGATGATATTTGGCAGGTGGGTAGATGGGGTATAGAGGAGTGTGTTGGTCTGCTTTGGGCCCCTGGTGATTGGCCTTAGTACTGCAGTAGGAATTTTTAAAAATATAAAATGTCTTTGGCGCTGGACGGTCTATGGACGTGACATTAAGGTGTCAGATAAGGCTTTACTGGTGTAAATTTGGCCCCCCTAGCTGTTTGCTATGGACCTGCAGGGTTGTTTAAATTTTTTGTCTTTCCGGCTAATGATCTCATGCATATGAACCGCTGGATGGATTGTGATTATCTTTTTTTTTCTTGATAGTTAATTTTACGATTATTTCAAGGATTGGATTGAATCATGTCTACATGTTCCGCTGATAGCTATATGACCTGCAGTCCGGGTAAGTTTGCTGCACTTTTATTTCATACCGGCAGGTAGCGCTCAGGCAAATGGTAGTGTGAATCCACATTTTTTTGACACCTGAAAGCGGCATTGATTAGTTACTTACTCGTTCTGCTTTGTCTTCTCTTCTCTTCTATCTAAACACACGTTTGCCGACCACGCTCATGACTAGTATTTATTTGGTAGAAGTGAGTTAGCCATCAATCCAAAATTGTGGTAACGTTTGTTACAGATACTCTCTTGAAACATCAATTAACCACAGATCTTCGAAATGATGTCTGGAAGAACCAATCTCCAATTCAGTGTGATATCAATGTCAGAAGCGTATGGGAGAACACATAGTGTTTGTTTACAAGTCAATTTAGTTCTGGACCTGTCTGTATTTTGATTTTCTACATACATACAAAAACTTAATTTCTTCAATTTTTTGCTTTAAACTGTTTTGTAGGATGACATGTAAACCGTGTCTTTGATATGTATCCCTATTGTGTTGACGTCTTTAATATACAATTATTATCACTTGCGATACTTAACGTTTCGTAACATTCGACGCACACAGTGAGACTAAAAGGGAACGAGAAATTTACTGTCTACAGTCTGGTCCAATAATCTTTACAAACCGTAGCAGCATTTGAGAGCTTTTACCGCGCATTTGGGCATATGAATGAGATATCTCGTTCATCATCACAACAGTTACAGGATATCTAGTCTACAGATTTTTCTTGTAATACCTGACAAAGCTCGCTAGGGGTCGCTATGTGGTTGATGCCAGTCAAATGGACAACAGGGATCACGGCCCCACCTAAATCTCATCTACTCCAATCTCCCTCGTGGCGCAGGTTCCAATAATCTAAAAGCAGTAAGGGACTGTACGATATTTACCGGGGGGGGAGGGCCGGTCGTCTGAGGGGGGAGGGCCTAGGAAAAAAATTTTGAGCCGGGGGGAGGGCCAAGGAAAAAATATTTAAATTTGGGGGAGGGCCTGGGTAAAATTTTTTTCCAAGGTCCCTTTAACTCTACAACGTTTTTATACACGTTCAAAACATGATTAAACGTCTGTCCATACATATCGTAGCGATTTGCAGGTCATTAGAATCGGCAAAATTTTACGTTCCAATAATATCCATCCCTATTATCATAATGTATTCGCCCAAATCTCCCACAGTCCCCTTCAAAATCTTGCATCTTCGCCAGAATCGGCGAAACTGGACTACACAGCCAAATTACACGGATTAAAATCGCGTAAATCGCGGCAATCGAAACGATACCGATCAAAAATGTAGGGAAGGCTTGTCTGAAGATTTTGAAAATTAATTTTCGCCGTTCAACGCACCCTTCCCAGTGGTGTGCGTGCGTGCGTCGGCAAAGGCCCCGCTGGTCCCGCCTCGCAGCTCGCTCGAACTTCTCGGCGTGGATGTCGGATGTCGACGGATTAATTTGGTATTTTTATTAAACCAAGGACTATTTTAACATTTATATCTATGTCCCTCCAAAGTTAATTGAAAACAACACGTAACTTGGCAATATTGTTTCCCCGTTTGTAATAAAATTGACGCGGAAGACGCGGACGAAAGGTAGGCTAGATAGAGGATTATTTCGATTACACTGACTGACCGCAACGTTACTGACTTTAATTTATAGTTAGACGTACCAGCGAAATTTG